TGGCTGAACCCAGCACAGTGGGTTACAAGGACAGGTGACCTGTTCCGAAGAAGACGACATAACTGAAGTGTGATAGTTATTTATTCCAGATACAGCAGTACATAGTTTTAGATATTGCTGTTACTGCTTATTAGTAATTTTGTATCTGAGTCTGACCTCCCCTGCAGCAACATTTTAGACATTGTTTCTGTTTTTCTGGGCTACTGGAAAAGAGTGACAGATATATTTCAGTGACATGAAGGGAATCTCAATATAGCACTGTTTTTTTTTTTTCTTTTTAAATATTAAAATTGGTATTTCCCAAATTGTTTTGATTCTTGAAAGAGGAAATTTATATATAACCTTGCAGAAAAGCACCTAGAACTCTGATGAACATTCTGTAAGGACTGGACTTTTAACTTTCACACCTGTATCTTTCTCTTTCAGCAATGGTAAATTGTTGGCAGTTGTTCAAGACCAGTGTGTAGAAATCAGGTAACTTAGTATTTATTGCTTCATGACCACAGTTGTGGAGTTCAGAGAAAGTGGTTTTAGTAATTTACTAATTGTACTTTTAAAGTTTTTTTTTAAAAGCTTTTTTCTTAATGTTACATATTGTAGAAGTAATCTGTGGAATAATTTTAAAATAAATTTGCACTTAGAAAGCAGAATCCTTCTATTTCTTAGTTCTTGGCCATTACCCATTTAAAAAAGTGCCAAAAAACCAACAAAAAAACACCAACCCCCAAAAAACCCACCTGCAGTAACAGAAACTCAACCCACTTCCCCTCCCTCCCCCTCCATTATACATGGTACAGATCAATTTATGTAAGTATCTATCTGTATCTTTCTTTTTTTCAAGATGTGAAAGATCAACAATCTGTGCTTTGAAATGCTAAACCCAAGTCATGGCCTTACTGACCTTTGCCTTTCTGTTCCCCCTGGAAATTCTCCTCTAATAAATGGGACAAGGAGCTAGTATTCTGCTTCTCTGCAGAGTCGCTGGCATGTATAATACTTCACCTTACTGTACAAGTAACGTGGATTGCCATAAAGACTGATGCTCTCCGTTTTTCTTCTGCTCCCTAACAAGAAGCTCTCCTTTGCCAGTTCAAGAACACATTTAACTGTAGAACGGATCTTGATTGAGTGTGTTTACTTCCTTCACAAAAATCCATTTGCTAGAAGGTCAGACCTTCTATTTATATGTAAAAGAAGCAAGTATATGAAAATTGTTCAATCAGAAGTGGTGTGAACACCATAAATGTCAGCTTATAGGCTATAAAATAAATCTTGTGTTTCAGCTGTATTAATGTAACTATATTCTTGCATTGTTTCTAAAATTGTAACCTAGAGAATACTGACTAGATTTTTTTTTTCCCCGTCTGAAGTTACATGCTGACGTGCTGAAATTCTGCTATCCTATTTTGAACAGCATTACTGCTAAATGAGGGTTATTAGTATTCATGAGTTGGGAAGAGGGTTTCTAAAATACTGTTGTTAGTTACTGTATGTTACTAGGTAGTAGCCTAAGGTTGAAGGCTACTATCTGCCTCTTTGAACAAGCAGTTGAATACATGCAGGCCTTTGAATTGTGCACTTAAACTACTTTTGTAGAATAAACAGATCACTATAAAATTGAGTAGTGTGTTTTTTCTTATTTAACTGCATATGCATCTTCTTCTGCAGGTCTGCAAAAGATGACTTTGGATCCATAGTTGGAAAATGTCAAGGTATACAATATGGCAACCTTTACATCGTTACTTAGTGTCACCATTGTTTATTATTCATGCATTGCTAAGTGGTAGTGTCAGTTTACTTTAAAGACGATGTTGTAACTTCTTAAAAGCATTGGGAAGAATCTCAGTAAGATAAGGGTAGGCACCCTGCATTTTTTGATGCAGCTGACTTTGTTCTGTTTAAGGGATTATATTTTTATTTCACTCTTTAACTTTCTTCCTTTTTCACAGTGCCAAAGGATCCTAACCCTCAGTGGAGGCGAGTGGCATGGAGTCACGATTGTACCTTACTTGCCTATGCTGAAAGCACTGGAACAGTGAGAGTGTTTGACCTAATGGGTAGTGAGCTTTTGGTCATTTCACCAGTAAGTGCTCTCTTAGATTAAATGTGAATATAGTAGAACTTTTTGTAAGGATAAAGGGTAATTTCCACTCTTTGGCCTTTTTAAATCATGGTTTACTTTGGTATGAAGGCTTACAGTATGAATACCATGTGCAAATGTACTGTGAAGTGTTTATCATACAATGGACATAAGTAAATTTAAGTTGTAGCACTAGCAAAGCATATCTTTTGTGCTGTTGTAGCTAGTCAGAATCTGCATCTTTATTTTCTTTTTATTAGAATTGTGATAGATCTGTAGGCATGTCAGATTGTGAAAGTATAGAATCACCTAATTAGTATTTGTGCAAATAATTACAATTTGTAGTAGTAGATTACAAATCTATGGTTTATATGCAGTCACTTGTAAATCAAGAAATATTGCTGATAGAGCAATATATGAGAAATTTTTTTTTCTTCATATGAGAACATATAATTGCTGCTGGCTTGCCCCACACAATATATGTTATAATTTGCAGATTCAAAGGTTGTATTAAACTAATTTGGGAAGGTGGCTCAAGTATTTCCTTAGTCTATTGTCTTTGAAGACTTTATAATAAGATTTCTTTAAAATCAAGGTAAAAGGAAGTGTATTTTGTTACTAATACAAACTAGGAAACTTTATTTTTTTAATACATTTTTTAATACTCTTTCAGTAATGAAGACACTTTTTGTTTTTAAATCCCCTTTCTCTCTTAATTGGTGAAGACAGCAAGTTTTCCCGGAGATCTGAGTTACGCTATTGCTGGATTAATCTTTCTAGAATACAAAGCAAGTGCCCAATGGTCAGCTGAACTGCTTGTCATTAATTATCGTGGAGATCTGAGAAGTTATCTTGTAAGGTAAGAATAAATTTTGACTTGCTTCGAGAAGGCACAGTGAGCTTCAAAGGGATTCTTTCCACTCTTTAAAGAAAATAAAACTAAAATAAAATATGCATTTTCTTCCCGGTATTTAGTGTTGGAACAAATCAAAGCTTTCAAGAAAGTCATAGTTTCAGCTTCAGCAGCCATTATGCCCATGGAATAACTACTGTCATTTATCATCCTGGTCACAGGTAAGTGTTCTGTTTGCTACCTGACAGTAGTGTGGAAGTGATGAAGTGGCAAAAGAAACACTGAAGTGTGTTGGATAAGGAGGGGGAGAAAAAACATCTATTTTAATATTGGTATTTAGTGAATCAAGTCATGAATCATTGTATCTATGAAAGCAGCCCTGGTGGTGAACTGACTTTACTAATGGAATGATGATAATCAAATGATGCCATTTACTGTTTGAGTACCTTACATAAGCAGTGATTTAATGTCAGGAATAGCTTCAAAAGACTTCTCTGAATTTGATGGGGGTAAAGGCTGGTGTATGAGTTTGTTTAGGTTTTTTTTTGTCTGGATGTGGTTTCTGGACTTGTTGGCCAACCATTTTCCTTACTGTTCTGACTGGAACTGCCAGGCTTTGGTATTGAGTTGTCCTGTGATGTGTTTTCTCTGTTAGTAATGTATTGGGTACAGATACCAGACTTGAAAGGCAGACTAATTGGCTGCCTGCTCTTGGACCAGTTGAAGTTGGTCCTGATTAGCCTATTACTTATGTTAAAGATGTGTCTAACTTTTCAATATCTACTTTTTATTTAGCAAGACAAACTCAGCAACTTATTTTTCTGTTTCTCTTCAGTTGCAGGAACTATATTTCCTTCTAGGTATTATTCTTCTAAGAGAAGAATACTACTACTTCAATCTGCTAGGATTGAATTTATCAGTGCAATATGTTACATCATGGACTAGATGATCTTATAGGTAATTTCCAACCTTAGTGGTTCTGTGGTCACTATTGTTTTAAATGGAAATACGCTTGGATATAGAATACCAGAAGAAACTCACTGTTTAAAATCTTGTTCTCATTCTTCAGTGTTTAGTGATCTGTCCTATCTATCTCACTATAAAAATGGTTATTAATGAGAAATAATCTTGCTTTAGCTGATTATTTTGAGAGATTAATTCTGAGTATGGCTTCTTCTTTCTACCTAGTTCATATCTAGTAATTCCACATCATTAGTATTCAGTATACTAAATCTAGAGTTTTGAGATAATAGCAGTGGGTTATGGGGCTTTAGTAGCACTGACCAGACAACAGAACCTACTCATTCCATTGATCAGACCTGGGTTAATGGTTCTTGACACTTGCTTCCAAAGTTATCTTTTCTGCTCCTGCTATTAGGAATTAGATTGATTATAACAGTGAGTGTTGCAAAGAATTTTGGTTAATATTCAAAGTATGGGCAAATAATTATCCGGACAGTTATAATGGATGGATGTGCTTGCTTTTAATTTTTGGTGCGTTTCTGAGTAAAATATGTTAAAACTGTTAAACTCTTATAACAAATGAACCCATTAACAAGAGAATATGTAGACAGTTGATGTAGTTGTCAACCAAATAGTATGGACATTACTTTGCATGTGCTAATGACAACTTCTTGCCGTAGTGATTTAAATGAGAATTCTAAATGCATGAGCAGAGTTTCTTGCTGAAACTGTCTTGTTCTAAAAAAAAACAAACAAACCCCAACCAACCAACCAAAAAAACCCCCAACCCAAAGGAGTTGATGGGAGGCAATTTTCTTAAATTGTACACTAAAGAAAATTGTAGATACGTATGAATACTTCAAAGTTTTCATTTTCCATAATGTGAACTTTGATAACATAAATTCAACTTTGTCACTTGTGCTTTCTTGCATTTAATTTAATTTCAGATCATGAAGTTATATGGTCGCTCTCCACTGCTTGTACACCTTGACTTACTGCACTCTATGTTACTATGTATTTTCTCGTTGCTTACTACAGTGCAATAGAATAGCACTTAGGGACTTAAGTTTAATTTTTTCAACAAGATGTAGGATAACTTCAAAGAGAATATGTCAGTAGGTGGTGTATCTGACTGTAGGAAAACGTGAAACAATAGCTTTATGAAAAAGTCTAATATAATGAGTTTCACTGCTGTTGAAAAGTATTACATACCTTTATTTAGATACTTAATGTTGGTGTTCTCATGTGATCCAGAATTCATCTGTGATGCAATTTATGGTGCACTTTAGTTGACAGAACTTAAATCTCTGCTTCAATGTGAGCTCACTGTAGGCTGTAATGGAAGGTTCAACTCCTGCTTATTTTGAGTATCTTAATCTGGAGCTGAATGTTCAGGGTTATCTGCCATTGCTAGAGAAAACATTTGATATTAGAGCCTAAAATTTGTGATGACTGTAGGGTTGTAGACTCAGTTAGAATTTGCTTATTGTACCAAAACTGAGTGAAGAATTGTGTATAAGTCTCAAGTTTTTCTTGGGTGCCTCAATTGAACTTCCTGTTCTTGAGACCAATATTGTACTAGTTTTATTCAGCCCAACTTTGTATAAACCTTTCAAGTAGAGTACAGTTGAGGTACTACAAGTGCAGCAATTTGTTTTGAGACTGGAGTTACCTCTAAGAGATAATCTAATCCATTCCCCTCCACAGCAGGGTCAACTAGAGCAGGTTTCTTGGAGGACACCCCTCTAGTCCTGCGTGTCTGTATCCTTCCTTAGGAGCGTGGCCTGTGTCAAGGCCTCTGATGTGGTGGTGTAGCTGCTGCAGTGGGTGCTGGGGACAGAGCCTGGCAACGCATCACCACAGTTGCTGAGAACATGTACAGAGAGACATTCTGGCCTTCATGTTCTACACACCGCTGCACAAAATGCTGCACCTGTTGGCTGTGGTCTAGGCCTGGCACTTACACAGGTCTTTTTCTAGGACTTGTTGACCCTTCTTCTAGGACCCTTACAAATCGGGCGTCAGATGGAACAAAAGCTCAGAGCATCCTTTGATCAGGACAGCTGGCAGACCTTCTCAAAAACTCCTAGAGCTTGCTAGCTAGCTCTTCCTGGCAATGGCAGGCATCATGAGATGCCTTAAAGACTTCCAGGAGTCTTCTGATGATCCCAGAAGTATGTAGAAGATTAAGAGGATCTAGAAACAGACCCAGAAATTGCACACACTGCTGCGTACTAGCTGTGCTCTGTATGGAAAACATATGCAAGAATAAAAATTATTTAAGGTTTTTTAAGTACTAAAGGACATTGGATAGATGTCGTGGTTTAACTCCGG